AACCTGGATTTCGCCCGCACGTGCACCCGGCGATGTACTGCAGTCACAGTTCTAGTGAGTCCATCAAGGTGTGTTTTGTGGCCAGCGGGATTGTTCTTTGCAGGGGAATGGACTGCACAGATCTCCGCCATGTGCCAGGATGAACAAGATCATTTTTATCAGCCACAAGCTGCAAAGGGAGGAGGGGCCTTGTGCCATCACAGCACTGAGCATGATTGGCTTGTGCTTGTCCGAGCAGCCTTGCAGCCTCGTGAGCGACTGCGCGCAGCTGTCAGGAGGGAGACAACAGCCCGCAACTGAGGACCTTGCAGGTGCTTTGCTTCCTTTCACTATCAGCGCCCAATACAGCCGTCAGCCAGAAGTGGCCGCGATATCAAAGTGTAAAGGCCCCAATCCCCAACAATGGTTCGTCACGCAGTGCGCATCTTCCGGTATTGCTTTCGAGGTCAGGCGCAGGCCGTTTTCCAGTCCGTCAACATTGACGAGCTATCCGACGATGAAAGCACATTTGACAGGCCGGCCGTTCAAGTTCTTCATCATGGCAAAGGGAGCTCCCACTAGTTTCAGGGGCTTTGGATACAAGGTTCGCAAGTTTCAATTGATTCTGAAGTAGCCGCTGTCGGCAGTCCTACCATGACAGTGTGATGAGTCAGCACTCAGCACTCAGGCCAGTGCCAATGTTCTCGCTATGGCCGGTGCCAGAGTATAGCTTTACGGACACATTTTCATCTTTTTGCCCGGAGCCCAGTGATTTGGAGCGGGCGCCACCTGCAACGTATCACATGTTTGTCCAAGCACTTAAGCCGGTTGACGCTGCAAACTTGCTTGGTCCTAGATGGGAAGCTTGTCCCGCAGCCGAATCTCGAGTTTGGTTGATCCATAGCGACATGTGTGACTTATTGTGAGGGCTCTCTCTCTCTCTCTCTCTCTTTCTTTTTGGATGGTTTTAAAGGGAAACCGCAAGGAAACCACCCATGAACCTCCCCTAATTAGCGACAAGCCTTGAGCAAGCCATCGGAAGGCTTCGCCTCCTTGCTGATCAAGCCGGAGGTGGTCAGCACGAACGCACTGAGCTCATTGGTGAACCCGAAATGCTTGGCTCATCTTGATTTCCCTGCAAAGTCCCAAGTCAAGGCACCATGCGAGGATGTCAACTTGAGTTTCGATGGGAGCGTTGAAGTCTATCTGAAGATGTCTGATGCTCCTCACGGCGACCTTGCTTGCACTGGAAGTCATGCGGTGTGAAGCTTCAGGTGGCAGTTGCAGAGGAATGCCTTTGGCTGCTTACCCAGAGCATCTACAACATCAAGTATTCTGAGGCACAGCGTTCTTATCGCCGACCCGCCTGCAAGGGGTTGCCTGACCTGACTTGGATGCCCTACCTTATTTGTAAGACATCTTTTTTTTTGGTCAGCGGACTTGGTACGCCAGACACAATATGTGCAGAAATTACTGGTTGCAAGTATTCAGATGCTTGATCTGCTCCACTGAAGTGATCAGTTGCGCATACCTCATAGGCGACACGTGATGTCTTGGGATGTCAAAAGCCGGCTCGCTCAATGCTGCCGGGCAGCTGCTCCTTGTACTGCTGGATTCTTGTCTCCATCTCAGCCACTTCCTTCTCACAGGCGCCCAGCTCCACCTTGTTCTTGTCAGCTTGTTGTTGCATTTTCTGCGTGGACATGCCTGATGCATACTGATGCACGTCAAAATGCAATGGATATGTTTGCTTTGTCCTCATGGGCTCCATCTTTCTTGAGACTTGGTGTTTGCTTGAAAGCACTTGAAGCATGAGCAGTTGGGTGTCGTTAACTTGATCTACTACTTGAGACCTGCTATAGATTGCCCTAATTGATTTCGTTGAGCGAGCAAGGGGTGTACCACTTGCAAGGTTACTTGAGTCGGAAGCAGGGATCATCACCACGTTACAAAAAGGGACACCCACCTTCGCTTTGAGATCATGGAGAGAGCTACCAGGCGCACCATCCCCCACAAATTAGCAGCTTCAATATCTCCAAGGTGTTGGCTGTATGCGGAGATATGGCATGGCAGTTGCTACCGCTCACCATTGTGGCAAGGCAATGCGCCTTGATTTTTTCACGCAGCTGCAGAAGTCCGAGATTGCTGCTACGCGCGGGACGCAATTTGTCAGTGGCAGCTTCGATTTGTCTGTGGTAGCTGCCCTGAAGTTGTGCCGTTGCATCCTTGGCTAGACTTGTCCAAGCAAGCGGCTTTGCGCACACAGTGCTCTTGCTCGATGTGTGCTGGTTGTGAACACATGTGAATATGTATATATATATATATACACGTGCATTGGCTCAAGTCATGGCGTGGGGGGCTCGAGGAAAATGCTTGATTTTGCGTTTATCTCACCCTTTCTCCCTATCATATCTCTCTCTCTGTATCCTCTCTCTCGACTCTATTTCCCCATCCTATGTTGGAGCAGAGTGGAGGAAGGGAAGAGAGTAAGAGAGAGAGAGAGAGGAAAGACTCAATTAGAATCTTTTTAATAATTAACTAGATGAAAGGACGAGTCCAGACGAGGCAAGGGAATGACACAGAGAGAAGAGAGAGATGTGGAACAGCGAACGGCCGGCTTCTCTCGTCCTTATCTCTCCATCACCCATCATATTAACTCTCTATCCGGTGCCTCCCCAACTTCCAGGATGTAGAGTGGGGTAAGGCATGGAACGGATAGGGAGGTAATCATATGCTGTCTCCAGGAAATTCCAGGATGTAGAAGTTAATGAACGAAGAGAATGAGAGCGTAGGAAGGACTGGTCTTCATTCAACCTCCAACCCTTGCTTCGTACCTTAGCTTCTCCCGACAGTCCTTCCACAGCGACCAAAGAGAGCGGGGATTACACACTTCTTTCTTCATCCTTTTCTACATCTTGGAAGTGTTTGAGGTTATATGATATGCCGCTTCCTCAAGATCCTGGAACACACGGCATATGATGAAGAGAGCCGGAAGGCGGTGTGTCATGGCTTTCCTATCACCCAACCTTTACTCTTCCCTACAGCCTAATCTAGAGATTCCGGAAGTGGCTGTGTGTAGGTTGGGTAAGTGATAGGAAAGGATGAAGCGCTCCCAGCCGTCGCTTTCATCTCTATCACCGACGTGTCGGAGGGAATAGATAGTGATGGAAGGGAAAGGATGGCATCCCTTTCTCCCTTCCCTCTTTCTCGTTTGGGATTCCTTCGTCATCAGCCATCAACGAGAAGAGCGAGGAAGAGGGATGAGAGAAGGAAGAGAGAGGTGAGAAAGGGAACCGTGAGACCGCTTCTCGCCCCATTCCTTCTCCCCTTGTCCCTTCCTATCAACTCGCGAGTCCTTGAGTCTCTGGAATGTACATGAGGGAGAGGAAAGGAAGAAGCGAGCCCATTCCTCTTTCTCTCTTATCCCTCCCTCCGGCTCTCTTATTCTCCAGTCACTCTCATTTCACTCCATTCCTTACTAATTCGTCCAGCCCACTTTCTGTTGAGGATCTCTACATTCATGACGATGCAACTGCCACTTCCGAAGCACGAGGAGTTGCTAGCCAAAGACTTCCTGCATCCAAGACAGATATCCGACTACTGCATTTTGTGTCGCACCAGTGGGTCGTAACAGCACATCCAGACCCTGGCGGACATCAACAGCAAGTATTGCAGCGCCTCCGGCGCATCTGTGGCAACATCGCGGGCACAAAAGATGCAGCTTCGCAGCTCCTTGAGGAGGTTTAAAAACACTCTCCGCTCAACAGCGAGCCAAAATTCGCGGTGCTTTTTTTTTGCTGGACTGGGCCAGCATCCCGCAAGATGATGTCTTCCAGCACGAGACGGATGTTGATGCCAGATCGCAATCCAATCAAGCTACTTCCCGCACTTTTGTCTACAGGAGCAATTCGTCATGAGACCTTTCTACAAAGCGGAAACACATTCTGTCACTTACCTCTTTTGTTCAAGCGTGCCAAGTGTTCGTGGCTTTGGTGCCACCACTACTTCACCAAGACACTGGGCTGAGGCGCATCATGCCAGCAGGATCACACGCGGATGGTGCAGAGTTGCGATGCTTTGCAAGATGATGCTGGGCAACCAGGACATGCCTATCGTCGATCGTTGTTGGATGTGGCTCAGTATGCAAAAACTGTAAATTGGGTGGACTGTTTGCCACATGAAGCAGAATTCAGCTACCAGAGTGACCGGGCCACGGTGACAGGAATCTTTGAGCAAGCGGTGTCCTCCAAATTGAATTGGCTGGAGCTTCGCTTGGAAGGCGGGAACATAGACCTTGATCGTTATTTTCTTGCACGGCGCGATATTGTGATCGCACGGCCTCCAGCTACACGAGCACCAAAGGGTTTCTGGGAATATTTTCGATGGGAGTGGCTAAAGAGCGGGTCTGGCTTTGGCCCAGTGATTCCGGCGATTCTTGCGGGGGATGTTGAGCTGGTGAAAACGCTTTTGGCGGCTCGCTGTCCATTGGACAGGCCTCGAGTCGAAGGGATGCCAGAGGTGCTGCTTGCGCCTGGCTTGACGGCCATGCACCTGGCGGCTTTGCAAGTCCACAAGTGCTTCCAGGCCTCTCGGCGGCTCGAGGGGATCCTCATCTTCCGATCTCGGGAGTGCCCTTTCTGGCATGTTGCCGCACTGCCAGAGATGTTCAGATCCTGGTGGATCACAAGGCAGATGTGAGCGGAACCTACTGGCCACCGCATATTCCAGTTCTGGGTTTAGCAAGTGGAGAGAGCACCAAGCCTGAGGTGATTGCTCAGCTTTTGGAGTGTCGTGCCAATCCAAACGCTCCACATTGTGGTGGATGTGGCATGACCTCGGTGCTGAGCATGTTGGCTGTAAATGCAGCCTCAAATCCCCACGCTTTGGCAGTGGCAGATCTTCTTTTGCGTAAGAGAACGGACATCAACATCCAAGGCAAGCCTGGCGGCATGTTTCGTGCCTGTGAACTGATGAGCAGGGCAAACCTTCAGTTCGCCAAGCCCTGTTCGATCCTAACGAAGTCGTTGGCGGAGCAAAGTACCACTCCGTTGGGCTGGGCGTGCTTGTTTGGCTGCACAGAGCTTGTTCAACTCTATTTACAATCGCGGGCGGATGTTTGTGCAAGGACTTCGCGTGGAAACGATCCATCGGACCTGGCACAGTCACAGGCTGTGTTGACCATCCTCCACGAGCGGAACGCAGAGCGAGAAGTTCCGGAGAGTTTCTTTAGCATTTAGCTTGGCTTGCTTCTTTGCATCCAGTGGCTGCATCACAAATGTGTGTGAGTCTGTGCATGTGCATGTGTTTGTTTTTGAGTAAGAACCTAAACATCAGAAGAGTCACTTGAACGTCTTAATCTTGCGGCGCCATGTTTGGAGAGGCTGCCATTGTTGGTTTTGCACTGGAGAGACCTAGCTGTGGGAGCTTGGCAGAAGCCTAACCTTGGACACAACATGAAGTTCCCTTTTCAGCATCAACACCTCTCGTCTGAGGTCTCAGCGGATCAAGGAGCAATGGGTGCGCCGCATCGTTCCTTCAGCTTCAAGTTTCACTTGTCCAGAGTCAAAAATAATCGTGCTTATCTCTCAGTATGCAATAGGCATCGCCCTACTAGGGCGTGGAGTGTGGTTTGTCTAAAACCTGATCCTTGTTTGAGGCTAGCACTTTTTGTGCTGGAGAGCTTGGGATGCGGGAACATGTTCTGTGGAACGCTGTCAGCAGATTAGTCAAGATGTGTGCCAGGTGAATAAGCTCCAAAAGATCATGCTGCAGCACTTCACCAATGCAGCTTGACTAAGCATACTTCAAAAGAGAAAGCAGCATTAATCCAAGCTGTTGTAGGGACCCTTAACTCCAATGTTGCATTCCCAGCCAAAGTTCCAGGCTCCTAGGAGTGTGGGCTTGTGTCTTGTGTCTTCGCGAGCAATTCTGATTGAACAATAACGGCGTCTCAATGCCAGTGCGGAGCAAGATGGAGACTCACCGGCCTCAAAGTTGGGTGTCGCAATCTTCCTGAGGTGGGCAAGGGATGGTTCTCTATCCACGAGACCAACCCGGACACCTACCGACAGGCTCGGCGCTTCCCTGAAGGAGGCTTTGTTGGACAGGTTGGGCACTTGATGATAATTGGGCAGGAAGTGACTCTGGATTCAAGAGGTTCTGCGAGATGTGAAAGGAAACGAAAGGAACTGAGTCAGGGCAAGATGCGGAAGCTCTTGGCTGTCATCCGCTTTATCATGCAGGCGCTGGCCATGGAGTATATTTCTTGCCGAGCAACTTGCGGCCATGTTTCTCGCAAATTAGCGGACCCCAGCACTTGTCCCAAACCAAGCCAGTCGACTTCAAGTGACCAGGTCTCTTTGTGTTTGTTTATTTGTTTGTTTGCTATCGATTTAGATATGCGTTCCAGCGTTGGGATTCAGTCACTTTGCAATGTCCATACAGGCAACTGCTAGCGCAGCTTCTTTCCCCTATCTTATTGCATATCGGTGGGAGCTGTTTTGGGAAGTCGTCTCGTTTCTTGCGATCAGGGGATCTGGGTAAGTTGTTTATGCATCGGTTGAGGCTGCAGTTTTTGGTTTGGTTGCGATTCCATAATCCATCGGGTCTTGATTCACTCGTTGCAAATTGTAGATCCAGAGCCTGGCATTGTGTGTGCTGCCTCCTTTGCTTTGTTTGCTTTTGCCGCTGATGCTGCTGCTGCTGCTGCTGCTGCTGCTGCTGCTGCTGCTGCTGCTGCTGCTGCTGCTGCTGTGGTGCTGCTGCTGCTGCTGCTGCTGCTGCTGCTGCTGCTGCTGCTGCTTTTGCTTTTGCTTCTGCTTCTACTCCGCCTGCTGCTGCTGCTGCCGGTGCTGCTGCTGTCCTGCGGAGGTTGGTGGCATGTTCCCGGGCAAGTCTTGCACTCACCAAAGGGTTTGATTCCCCGTTGTTCAACCATCTTTCTTTTCAATACCAGCCGCTTCTCGGGTTGTGGTGGCTTTCTCGGAAAGAAGGAACCCTGGAAAGAATGGGGGACTTACCCCCGAGACAAGGACACGCTGCGCTACTTTGCCCTGGACTCTGTGGCGCACTACTGCGAAAGCCTGGAGAGGTGCGGCATGGAGCAATCCCTTGCAAACTAACATGGAATCCAGAAAGGGGTCTCCAGACCGAGGTAAATTTATCTTCAGACAAACAATGTCTGCGTGTGTGCGTGGGTTCTGTGTCAAGCTGCAAGGGAGAATGGGATAATGAGCAGATCAAGCTGCAAAATGAACGACGCACGCACGCACGCACACATCCAAAGGTCCTCGGCGTTGGTTGCGCGTTCACGCTAAATGTCCGAAGGTACTGCCCTGTCCACGTAGATGTGCCGTCGGCTCAGATATCACTGTTGAATGAAGAGTCCTGCTTTGTCGCATCAATCATGGAAGCGGACAAGGGGACTCGAAGTAGGCGTTATTCAGGACGCTTCTATGAGCTTCCGGATTCCACAATTGTTAGAGTGTTGAGGGTGGAATGCGGAGACGAGGGAAAGAGAGTAAAGCAAAGCAACACTTGGTCCGGGACTCCAGGGTTGGGCAGCATTTAGAAAGACCCCTTTGCAGACAAACCTAAACAAGGATGTTTGAGCAATGAAAATAAGTGATTGGCTCAAGTTGCACAGAATGCATCGTTCATGGTGACTCCCTTGTCAAGTTTCATACACATTGGGGTGGAAGACGTTTCTGAAGCGCTGCAAGGCAAGATCTTCTGCATGTGAATAGCGCCTTTGAAGCTGCACCTCCGGCGGATACACCGCCGCGACTCTTTCACAAGGCGCCCGTGGCTTTTGCATTCTCGGCCGAACTTCTTGGGCCCGAGTCCCCGAATTGCATGTGGAGGACAAACAGTTTAGTGGAATTCATGACGTGTGACTCGTGTGACTTCTTTATTTAACTTGTGGTGTTCAAGTTGTTGCACAAATACTGCTGACATTACCAGCATGGGCTGTCAGAACATCGTGCCCCCCACATAATCCTGGACCCAATAAAGGCCCCCGAATGACACGACATGTCTCTCCGGAACACGAAGCTCTGAATGCTAAGTTAGAATTGGCCGATACTAAGCCGATTCTGAACTCTGAACTCGCGATTTCTCCTGCTGAAGTAGTGTCTGACTAAGGGGCCCCCCAGAAACAGGGTGGTAGAAGAGGGCCAAAGACGACCAAGAGGAAGGAACCGGGGGCCCCCTAGGCTCTGGTTGCCGTGGCCTCCGGTAGCTGGTTCTGCAGAAGCTCATGACAAACCCAGTGCCAGTGCAGCAGACAGCGTGCTTACCCGTGCCCATCAATTCGCTGCCTCTCAAGTTTGATCGGGCATCAATCCATCGCAGCTAGAATTTGCGATTTGAGTGGCATCTGCCGTTTTGTCAACGATCTGTTTTTCAATCGTTGGCATTGAAACATGCCATAGGTCCCCCCCCTCTCTTTTTGCTGGAAAGGGCAGCGCTGCTCAGTGCTTTTTGTACGTAGGGGGACCCCCCGAGAAACAGATTTTGCATCTCGCACAGGCCGCCTCCGCCTTCATGGCGCAGCGCAACGGCGGAAGCCTCGGGGTAAGTTGGATGGGAAAGCCCATGGTTTCCCGTTGCCTCAACCGGCCTGTTCTTTGGTTCCCCCTCTGGAGTTTGGTGGGGCGAGTGAGGGGTTGCCATGCCACCTCCAGTGGATACCAAGGGAAGGTCCCCCTGCCTGGCAGTGGGAATCAAGCTTGAACAGGGGTGATGGACCACAAGAAAGAGGGCAGGGATACCCAGCCGACTCTGATGCACTAGCGGCCGCGGGCGGCAACGTGGGAAGCGTTTGGAGATGTTTGCACCGGCCAGAGTCTCGCTGCGCGGAAACGGCGCAGCACGCACACACACACACCCACACACACAGAAGAAAACTGGTTGATCATTGACAGGCACTCATGAAAAAAAGCAACGTCCAAAGGTGTGAACTAGGGGTTTGCCGACCCAATGCCATTAACGCTCAATGCTCGGAAGCCGCTCGTAGTTGCTTCTGTATCTTTGAGGAGGCGGATCAGGCCGGGAGCTCAAATTCGGACATCAGGGCTCGGCTAAGACGATTTGACTTCAGCTTGGGGAATGGGTAAGCATACATCTAGCTACGTAGCAGCCCTTGTATCAGTATCGTGTAAATGTGTGGAATGAATGTCCTTCATATTGACATATTAGTCCGGTGAGATGCTGTTCAGGCATTCAAGAGTTGCAAGCTTGCTCTTGGCTGAAGGTTGTAGCGTCAGCTAAGAAGTTTGCATGAGAAGCGGTCACAGCCAGTCACAGCAAAGCTGAGTATGCTTTGGTTGTGGATTGGTTGGTACTGGGCTATGCGTCTTATGTGCTGCTGTCAAGCCTTTGGCCGTGTGTCAAAGTTACCCCTCCTCCCCCGGCCCGCATGTTGTTGAACAGGTCAGAACAGTGTCGCGCTTACAACCATTGCTTGACATGCTTTGACTTGATTGATCGTGACTTTCCGGTGAATAGATCGACCAGCTTAGAAGCCGTTGTTGTGCTGTACAAATCGAATCCGTTTGGTACGTAGTGGGATTTGCATGCATGCGCGAATGGTGTATAAGGATTAAGATTCTCACACGTGGCCAACAGTAAGCGAGCAGAAAGTACTTCCAACATTGAAGACCAGCTCGGACAACCCAGGTGAAGCTGAAAGCCAAGAGTGCGGCGCCCGGTCGCGGATTGACAGTGGTCAAACCGGCCAGAAGCCGGAGCCAAGCCACACATTGAGCAAGCTATCAAAGCAGAGATCCCACCAAGGCGCAAGGAAGCCACAATTTTAAGGATGCCTATATATGACATGCCCCACTTGGAGGCCGGCTTTATTTCCTAAGCAATGTATCCCGCTTATGTTTCGCATAAGGATCCCTATGGTCATCCCACCAGCGTTGGGTGGCCTTAAGTCTTAAGGTTTTCGATGTTCTTGCATCGGCTGATCCCCAAGCACAGGCCCGGACACAGACGCACGGGTGCCTGCAAAGGTTGCGTGTTCTGCAACTCGCCAGGCCAAGTTGTGTCCAGGTCCTGTGAAAATGGGATTACTAACTAGCTTTGCTTGTCTCCAACTGGATACTGTCTTAGGTCCTGTTTGAACGTGTTGCATGAGACCATATCAATTCGTGTGGGTAGAGGTCGCTTAAAAGATTCGAAGGGTATGGTTCGGTCTCAGTACTGTACACGACCCTTTGGGTTGGCTAATGCTCTCATGGACCACGGTTTTCCTAGGAGATTACTTTCGAGTTTAATGTACTGGTTGTCAGACCTATGGACTTTGGCCCCGAGGTCCCATGGTCTCTTCATCCTGGAGCTGCGCCATAGCTGCCCAGTCGCAGAGTTCAAGCTCGGAGCAAATGTGCGAAGTTTTTTCCAAAGCCAGAAAGCACGGGGGAATGGTGTGCTTCTCGTTTCTTCACCGTCTACTTGACACCTGGGTGCGGATGCATCAAATCTTGGTCAAAAGGGCGTCAATAGGGTCAATCAGCTGCTCAGCTCACTTGATGAGAAAGTGCATTGTTGCGAGTTTTAAGCTTGGCTTGTGTATGTGTATGTGTGGTGTGTTTGTTCAACCTTCAATAGCAGAGACGCGCTCACGTCCCAGCTTTTTTTCCTGAGCCCCCCTACCTGCAAGCATTAGGTCGCTCGTTTGATTGGTTCGGGGTGTCGAAACAAAGCTTCTTGTGTGATTTGCGGCGGCCATGGACAGAGGGCTTGGTTGTGGACTGAGGTGAAGACAAGCAGAATTTTGTCTACTCTTCCGATGGGGTGCAGGCACGCCAGCTACACAAAGGCTTGAGTGGTGCAATGGCACTCAACGCTGCAGCTTGATTGGACATAGGGTACCTAGTTTTTGCAGATCGGTCGACCACATTTTCCTTGGCGCAACTCTGTAAAAAGCTGGCCATCGCCGGCCGGAATTTGAGCGAGAGAGAGGGAGGGAGATGCACAAACATGGATTGAGGTGATCGATGTGTGCAAGAAAGTCTTGGAGCTGGGGCTTGGGGCTGAGACGGGCTGTGTGGGGCTGACCTGTTGTGGCTCGATCGCCGAAAATGTGAGCCCAGGCTCCAGAGCCTGGACGTGCCCCAGCTGGATGCCCTGGTGGTGCCACAGCTCTTCCGGACCGTTGTGCACAAACAGGCGCGCGCGGAGAAGAACAAAACGCGGAAAAAAACAACAAAAACACTGAATGACTGTGGCCTTCTTCAGGCTACCTCTTTTGGGCTTGGTTTCAAGGCCCACAAGAAACCGCAAAACGAGGATGTGATTTGGTCTGGGCCAAGGAGTTCCCGGAGTTGAAACGACTTCACCCAACGGTCCAGTACCTTTGGTTCGTAGTTCCAGCTGCTGAAGTTTAGTCTTGCTTGCCCAGAGTGGGAGCAAAGATAGTGTCCCTATGTTATAAGATTGGTTCACAACAATTAGGGACGATATCCAGAGAACACAAAGTATGAGGTTTGAGGCCGTACTTGGGAAATGGATTGGACCTCAGGTGTGTATAGTGTCAAAAGTTCCGCTCTAGGCATTTGAAGCATCATGTTTTTGGAAGTTTCTTTTGGTGGGGCGCTGCGGTGAGGTTTTAACAGGGGTTATGAGGCACCCTGTTCAGATTTATGGCCGTGTCTATATGGCGGGTTGAGGCTCGCTTTGGCTGTTTCCCTCGGTTGCTTTTCAAAAGTAAATGGAAGGACATCGCCCATTTGAGGTTCCCAACTTGATAAACCTTCCTCAACACAAAAAGAAACATATCATGGAGCACTGGACGACTCGAGGCACAGTGTTTGTGCCCTTTAGGAAAGCCATGAAGAGTTTGCTTGCAATCAAGTGGTCGGTACATTGACACACACACACACACGCACGCGCTGGATTAGTTCATCTTGTGACAGAGAGAACGGGTGGGTAGACATGGCGGGGATGCCGCTCAATAATTCACACTTAGGCTTTTTGCAGCTTGAATGTTTCTTTTGTTGAGACCCACAAGTATACTCAGACTCCCCTTGCTTTGGGCGACCCAGATTTGAGCCACCTGGTGAGCAAAGGTAGTACTTGCGTATGAATTGGCAATTGCACTGCCTGACTAAGGAAATAGTGTGTAAGAATTTCAGTGCACTCTCAGATGTCCACTGCTTGTTTCCATGCAATGGGTGAGGCGGCCCGTTTGATGCTTTGGAAGGACACCCCCAATTGCTTGATCAACCGCAGGTTTGTCAACTTGGTTTAGCCGATTTGGCTGTCAACGGTGTGCTTTAATTCATCATGGTATTGTGTCATTGACCTTGTGCGGCCTATTCTTGAGCTTGCAGTTCTGTATTTGACCTTGATGAATCCGTGATTTCGGTAGAGTGGACAGGAACACTTGTAAATGATCGTGCGTGTATTGTGTCTATATCTACATTCATGTCATTCTCTGGAAGTGTTTCAGCCAATCGGGAACGATGTCTGTTGCGAGCGATGTAGGTGCTCAGCACTGTTGAGATGACGGAGCCCTGGGCTGGGAGCCACGGTGCCGATATGAGAAGCAGCGAGGTGCTGGCCTTTTGGGAGGGGCCTTTCGGGAAAACCCAGGAACTGCTAAACACCCATGGCGAGGCTCAGTCAGAAAGTGTCTATGCAGTTCAAGGGATGCGGCCACATATGGTGGGGCTTCATTGCCGACGTTTGGCTTGCTGGCCTGGTGTGTGTGAACTCTGGCAGCTGTGGGCGAACGAATTTGACAAGTTGGTTTTGGCCACCGGGCCACTTGTTTATTTCCGAATCACGGCTCCGCCCTTTCTTGGTCATGGATTGGTCATAGATTTATGTTAGCATGAATCGAGACCCAGAACATTCCTGCGCCTTCAGGGGATTTTGGCAGTGGATCGCATTCAGCTGCTGTTTGGCAAGGCTGTTCCATGGATATTCAGGCTTTGCCCTTTGCTTTTGGCAGTCCTTAGCATGAAACCAAAGTCACCGAGATGCCTCCCTCACCGAGTGAGGTGGTGCAGCGCCAAGAGCTGCTCGTGGAGAAGCTGGGCCGGACCCTGCCTTCGCTCACCGAGCCTCTTGGCGGCGCTTGTAGGAATTGGAGGACCTGGGCTTTCGGGATGCGTCAGCCAGGGTAGATAATTATGTATAGTATACACACATGTGTGTGTGTGGGTCATGATGCAAAAATGGTACATCAAAGTCATCCAAGTTTTATTCGCTTTGAGCTAGGTTGGTCAATGTGGACACACGTTTAAGCCTGTGAGCTTGCACCCGATTTCGCAAACTTGCCATCAGTAGCGATACCAAATGATCCCATTCATACGCGCTTGCGTTAGGGATTGGATTCCGAAGAGGCGATCTGTTTGACGGACCTACAGCACCAGACATTTGCATGAGCTAGCGATACGACTTGTTGCGAGCTTCCAATTAGGAGTAGTGTTACTTTGGCATTATGACTATCCAACCAAAGCGGGTGATGGTGAATTTGACTATTTGGCGCAGCATAGGCGCAGCGCACGTTCGCCCTGTTTGGTTCGGTGCAGCATACCCTTCAGTTCTTGGCCTTGAAGGACCTACATATCCTTTTTGAGAGGATGGTTTTTCTAAGGACCTGCTTACATACCTCAAGTGGACATACTCAAAAATTAGTGGTTCTACATGGGTTCTACAGGGTACATAACCCCCAAACATATCCCTATATAAGGAACCCTGGGAAATGGCTTTTAAGATGCGGCGCCGGTCCAATGTGTTGCTTGCCAAGGTTTATTCAGCTCTTTGAGCCTTACCAGACCTTACTTCGCTCCGGCCTCATGTCCATGCGTCGCCCGAGAAATGAAGCACGTGCTCTTGACATCCGCTGACTTTCAGGTGGCTTGTAGCTTTAGATTCCAAACTAAACCGCTATGATTGACCCCTTGGATTCCTCTTGGCGGCTGCCCATATTTGCCCTTGCAGGTCGGTTAGACATTTTACGATGTATTGTAGTGGACTGGGATGTGAAGGTTTTGTGATCGCGCCGCTTGTGTATCACTCCAAAGGCCTGGATCCCGTGGAGTATGCCGGCCCCTTAGTGCCGTGGGCACAAGTGCCATGGGGCAGAAACGCTGCAGCTTGTTGAAAGTTGGTTTGGAAGCCACAAGCCAACGAAGGAAACTGCTGCATTCTTCAAAGTTGTTGCACTGGATTCACTGGATTGTTGTGTTGTGCTTGTTGGTCTTGGCCCCTTTGCCGGTCACGGCGTGTGCCACTACGATCCTGTGTAATGTGTGTGTGTGTGTTCGTTTGTGGTGACACTCGAACAGCTGAATTCCTGTTTAGTTTGCGCCTATTGGGGAAACCCCCTGAAATGCAGTTCTTGTTTGAAGAAAAAACAAGAAAGCCTGCACCACATGCAGCTGGTTATGACCCCTGTATTTTTGAGCCCAAAATGCAGGCTCCGCAAGCCTTCGGTTTTGACAAGGACTTCGGAGGAAGACAGAAATGCTTTCCAAGACTCAAGCAACATCTACTCGCTAACTGGCGGCGGATTCCCAGGTGAAGGAGAAAGCTTTGGCCGAGATCAACACGGAAGAGTCTAGAACACAGTTGCAAGCTGCAGAGTCAGACAGGGGTTCTACTCAAAGAGGCAGGGTACTTACTAAGTGGTTTGTACGAATGGTCACAACTCACGTATCACGATGAACTAAGTAAGATGATATAACCAGCACTGCGAATCACATGCTAAGTACGTCTAAGTACACTGTCTAGTAAGCGACGTGACATACCAGGGGCAGGCCGCTTGCTTAGGTGCGTGATTTTGTAGCTTGAGCTTGACGTGTTGCATTCCTTCTTTATCTGGCGTTTGTTTTGTGACGTGAAGTTGTTTGGGCCGAATGCCTCAGCGGCCAAGGGCCAGACAGCTCATCCTGGAGCATATAGAAGAAGAGCCGGGGTCCAACCGGACGTTTCATGGTCGCGGAACGCTACCCGTGTTCAATAACGATGGTACTGGGATACAGGGCTCCAAATCCCTGTATATGCGGTTCCTTAATCAGGCAATTCGTTAGCTTGGTTGTTGTGCTATAAACCGGTATAAACGATTAGTCACTGCTTTACAGGCATTCATTCCCTTGTCAATGTGGCTGCGTCTCAAGTTGGTTGGGCCTCAAACAAAAGGCGGTTTCCTTTGGGTTCCCAACCAAGCCCTAAAGAGTGCCCTCAAAGAAACGCGACCCATCGCTTGCGGTGCCATGGCCTTTTGATAAGGCAGCAGGTCTTGGATGCCATTCCAGAGACGACGGCGGGGTCACAAGGGGGTGGGTGAGCGGGCGCTGGGCTGTGGCGGAGTGCACATTGGGAAGATTAGTTGATTTATCATTTCGCGAGATGCACGGTTTTCGAAAGAGTGATTGCTGAGGACCAGCTTCATTTCCGACAGGAATAATGAGTCATGCAGCTTGAATCGCTTTCGGGGGGGGGAGTCCTGGAGAAGACCTGGAAAAAAAGCATGCCGTCCACACCGTCAACTGAACCATGTGGAACAAGATCGCCATCGCCAGTTCAATGAGGGCCTTACACCTCTCTATTTTACATGGAAAGTAAACATGCAACCTACAGAGAACTCAGTACGTATATCAATATTCCTCGCGGGTCACTGACTAGGCACCAGATGCCAAATGAATTACCAAACCGGCGATCAGACTGCCAAGACCAGGTTCGGGAGGCTTCAATTCAAGGAGAAGCGCGGGTCAAGCTTTGTTTCAACATTGGTTGCGTGATAGGGCACAATCGTAGTTCAACCCAAGAACAAACAGAAACAATTGGAAAGGCAGCACAAGCGGAGAAAGTATTCAAACAGCATGCTCATTCATGATGTTTTTTTCATGGCCAGTTGCCCACCAAACTGTCAATCATTGATGATCTGCAAGACTTCCTTGGGACCTTTGGAGGCAAAATTGTAAAGTCATGTTCAGGCCCCTCTGATTGAAGGCAATGGACCCATAAAAAAGGGGAGCGACCGCAAAATCCGCAAGGTGCTAGGGCTCTTCGAGGTGCACTGCTCGGAGATCCGAAAGGTGCTGGTCTGCGCCTTGAAGGTTTCACCGTGTTTGAGGGAGCCAAAGGCAAAGCCACTGGTCCGACTGACTGAAACAAAAGATGAGGGAAACCAAATAGGAAAAGCCAAAGGAGAGGGAAACCAAAGGAAAAACCACTCCAACTCCCTCAGACACATTGAACATTGCCAATGTTCCATTGAAGTCTACTTCAGGACATGAGCGGAAGGAAACCCAGATTTATTTGATAAAAGCCAGGGTGACACCATATGATGGTTCATGCCCTCTTGGGCAAATGGTTTGTGGATCACCTGAGACACGAATTGGCTGGACGACGCATTCCGAGGTCGCAACCCAACGAATCGAAGGGCACCGAACCCCTTTTAAGACTCCTTCTGATTTGCTCGTTGATTTTTTTGGCCAAGTTGTTCAAAAGTCCCAAGCTGCCTGAGGCTCGGGTCAAAGCAGCCAACCTGCGGTTTCTGGAATTTCCTTTGTCCAAAGTGGTCAATGAAAAACACCAAACATGGATCTACTCCGGTGTGCGTATGGTTTGTCCTTGTGGTTGGTCATTACCCACCGAGAGTTTAGCGCGGACTCATGTTCGGGCCGCCCCTGAGGGCCCAGCCCGGGTGTCTCTGACAAAATGATGGGCAACGTGTAATGTGTGAAGACTACTGTGACCAAGGATGGAGCAACAACAAGAGGTAGACATTGTGCTTCGGAAGGAGCCAGCCTTTTTTTCACTTCTGCGAGGCCAGCAGACATAGAAAGATTGTGGAGCTGATGGTCGGCTTCTCAGTCCGCGTAGCAAGAGGGGTTGCTTCACTATGGCGGAGACCAGCCTTGAGTCACCAAGTCACGGATTTCTTGCCTTGGTTCCCTGCAACAGGCTAGGCGAAAACTGTAGTCAGGTCATTATGGAAGGGGATACTTGCCTTTTGCTCCAACGTTTGCTGGCCATAAACGACCAGTCAGCACCGACAAGTAAAGTTCCAGTGATCCCTGACACAAATTGTTAGATCTTGTTGACATGTGTTCAACGGGGCAGCAAGTGTTCTGAACTGCTGGCGGCTTTGACCCTTCCGTTTCTGCTTGCTTTGCTTGCGGTGCCCATCCCTCATGTTTCCCAGAACATGAATTGTTGGTCAAACTTCCAGTAGTCTATGGTCAATTCGGCGACATGAGGGACTAATTACCTTACAACTTCCTCACCATCCGGGGCTCTCTGATTCCCTCACATCCGTAGAGGCACAAAGTTGGAGGGTACAACATTGTTGAATGTTGCACACATGTGCAACTAATCTACTAAGCTATTGTCCTGTTAGTTCGGGAAGGCATGGGGGGCCGCCGTTTTCACCAAAAAGTCCTGGCGGCCTCCTCTTCTCGTCGGTTCGGGCTCCTGAGACACTGAATGCAGGGATCGCAATCCATGCCTGGGCCTGGCATCGAACGATTCCCAAAGCTCGGGTTCAGACGGAATTGCCAAGACGTGCTGTTGTTTGGACTTGAATCTTGGTCCGAGAATGACATCGTGTTTTGGTGCTCATGTTAAATTGATATCGATTTGCTAGGCGCAATTCCTTTCAAACCACCCACCATGGTGAACTAGATTTTGAGCCATGTGCTATCAAAAGCAGTGTTTGCACGGGCAAGCCTTGGCAAACAGAGGCGCGCTTAGAGCGGGTTCATTGATGCAATCAAGCAGATAGCCGAAACGTATGCTATGGTTTTGTTCTACGCATCCCCGGTAAAAGGCAGATTCCTCCGTTTCTATGTCAGGCAGAATCTGCCATGAACTGTTCTGTGCAGACACTAGTTGCATGGTTCGCTGCGGTTAACTGCAACTTTACTGCTTGTCTCTCCACACACACACACACACACATACAACACCCAACATGTCTTGCATCGTCCGCTGATCAATTTGCAGCTGGAGGAAGACATGCTTCTCCAACGTTTCCGGGATTCCGCTCAAGAGGTTGCGGTCATGCTGGCATGTTTACGGCATTTTAGATGCCAGTGAGCCGGTGAGCTTGAAATCTGAGAAGATGTATCCAGGGTGGTCCTGTTGTGCCAGTCAACTCAACGAGTCACTGCAAACCTGAGAAGCGTCTGACTCAAACGCACGTGTTCTGAGCATCTTGACTCGACCTTTGCACAGATTCTCAGGCCTTGTTTGATCGTTAACTTGCCTCAGCTTGCGAGCTTGTTCAAGTCAATGGCTGCTTGGCCACGTTTCACCTTGTCAACATTGGCCTCTTGCCAGGATATCTTCGCAGGGATCTTTGCCCAGTTGCGCAAGGCAGGATGATGGTATTTGCCTGAGTGGGGTAGTCAACACAATATAAATAAGTTATCAGCTTCTGACTCGAGTGATGCATGTCGTGCTGTTTTGATAAGTTGAGTCTTGCAGTCTTTGTGTGTTGAATCCGGGTCCAATTCAACAACCTTAACATACCCAACCTTTGCCTTGAGGCATCTCAATCCAAATCGCCTTAGTTTTCTTGTTTGAGTTTGAATGATAAGTTGCACTTGCGGGCTGCAACTCAACTCCTGAATCGCGTGTCGCGTGTCTTTTCACTCTTGGATCCCGCAAAGGGCCGATAACAGTTGTGTGTCGTGTCTTTCCACAAGGTTTGCTGGTGATATGCATTTTCGAAAATGACGTTCCGAGTCCCAACGTTGATGCAAGAGCACTTTACTGGTGCTCATGAAGTTCCTAGTCCGGACGCTGATGCTAGGAAGTTGTCATTCCTAACTCAATCAGTCTCAATCAGGAGGAATTCTGTTTCTGGCTGGCATACTGGCTTGATCTTCAAATTTGTCCCCGCTGGAAAGGGACCTGTTTCCTGGCTTTGTCGGGTGTCGTCACAGGCACCGAAGAATATCGAGCAGTCCACCGAGCTGCGGGAGTTTATGAGTCAGCGCCCGAGTCGGGCGAGGGACGAGGACACGTTTGACGATGTTTGCCTTTCTGTGACTATGGGGATGGAAGAGGGACAACTGACTACCTCAATTGTCGTGAAAGGGCGAGAGAAAGAGATAGGACAGAGACAGAGCAACGGAGAGAGAGACAGAGCCAGACAGAGGGACACAGGACGGACAAGACCGAAAGGACAGACAAACAGACAAAAAGACAGGGCACATGGACAGAAAGAGAGGGAGGGAGAGAAGTATTGTTTTTTTGCCGGAAGCCACTGAGTTCCATCCAGGCCATTATCATGACAAATTACCATTGCACAAGTGGAAAGCATCTAGACACATCAAGACAACAAAGGCTGTGAAATGGGCAGTTCCTGCTTTCACTATATGATGGGCTGTGTGGCTTTCGAGGTATTGGCACATCCGACATGGTGATTGTCCATGTTGTCTTTTGGTGACTTTGCCGTTTCCACTTACATTGCTCATCAGTCAGAAGGCAGGGATTGTAGTGGAAGCCTTGCTCACTGTGATTCGCTGACTCTGAGGTGGTGTCCCTGCAGAAGTGGCGAAGACTCCGCCTTATTGTGATTGAGTCATCATTGGCAATACCTGCCTAACCGACTGCCTGGTGGGGCGGGGCAATGCACACCATCCAAGGGCTTCTCCTGACATTCAGAAGTGCATACAAATCTATGCGGCCAGTGACTCAGCTGGGACGTTGTGCAATGCACTGGATATCGGACACATGTCGCGCCGCAATTTGAAACTAGCGTTCCATGCCCATTGATGGAAGCCACGATTTTTGGATGCGATATGTTTGGCATTGTTCCAGTGCAGCTCACATGACATGCGGTTGTCAGTTGTTGGACTTTGTTGTGCTCCCTTTAAAGAAGCAAAGGCACCAGTGCCAAATATTGGGGCCTTTTCATTGACCTTCACATTGGTTCCTGAGGTCCTCGAAGGCTTTGCTGTGAAGCTCACCAGTGTGCAGAGCTCAGTCTCGTTCACCCCATTTTGTACATGGGCACCATACATGCAGCGATGCCAACATTTGCCCAATTCGCCCTGAAACACATGCGGGTTCAGTGAGTCGTTTGCCGCTGGGAGTCGCTGTTTGGAGACTGTGACTTCGAGGACGATGCTTACCAGCGGTGGCGAGTGTATGCCTGCCCGAAGCAAACCTTTGATTTGATGGGGCAGGCGTGGGATTGGGAAGACTTGCGGACAAGATACTCGAAAAGTGCTCAAAGGACATGGAACTCTAAGAAGAGAACTGGGCCAAATCCGCTGCTTCACCTCCCCACTCGTTGGATCATTGTTGAACTTGAATCATGGGGGCTCAACACATTGCAAGCTAACCTGAGGATCCGCGGCAAGGATGTTGGAGCATTCTGAACACCATCACGTCCAGTTATGGGAGGATGCTGTTGATGACACTAGCATAAAAGGTATGTTTTCCACCATTTCTGTCAAAGTGAAAAAATGTTTCTTGTTAGAAGGGTCAATGCTGTTCGGTGTGTCAACCTTTGATTGGTGTTGAGAGAAAACTAGAGATATTGACAGAGCGAGGGGGGAGCGAGAGCAAGACAATCAGCGAGCAAAAGAGAGAGAGAGAGAGAGAGAGAGAGAGAGAGAGAGCGAGACAGAGAGTGAGAGAGGAGGAGGAGGTTGTACAAGCTTAAGCCAGTGCAAGAAGTGTTGACCCGTTTGACAGCTGTCTATCGCAAGGATGCCAGTGCTTCTTTGCTTTAGGTAACAAACATCGCTTCCATGCGAGGCCACACATCAAGGATCACATCGAGTCCTTTGATATTTGACCAATACAAGACCATTTTGACAGTGGCTCTTTGCTACGTCTCGTAGTCTAGCAGAAGGGGAGAGCCATTTGATGTCAACATGACTCATTGGGACAAAGCTTCGAACGCTGAGAAATTTGTGCAGGTAGAGCACGAGCTGGTGAAGGCAGAGAAAGGCTACCTGAAGGACATGCAACAGGCCGGACTTCGGAATTCGATTCGAGCGATCCGAGCCGGTGACCTTTTTGACGAGCCTTTGAGACTTGGAGACCACAGCAGCAAAGTGAATTGCTCCTTCTGGCAATAGGACAACCGGTTCAACTCACTCGGAAGACAGGAACTTCAATGGCCGGAATCGTTTGCATGCTGCCAAGGAGCAGACGGATTTCGATGAGAACTTGGTGGATTTAGCTGGGGCCTTGGCTTGCCTGGCGGGGAGGCCGGGTTTTGTTGGCTGAGCAGACGACATGGTACTCTGCTAAACATCATAGTGAAAGTGACAAGAGGCTACTTGCTGCTTAGTCCTCGATTACCTTCATTACCCTGCCTGGGAAACTGGAATTTGGTGTTGCTGATGTCCATGCGCTGAATGTTTGCATGTTTGGTCCCCAACAAGCTGTGTTCTCATGGTTCTTTGTCAGACTAAATGAGGCTGGCAGCTAGGTGCCTGGTGTTGCAAGGTTGCCGGAATAGCATGTTGTTCCTTGTGGCTGCCCTTCATGAGCCGCTGTGCCTATTGCTGGCTTGGATACTTGAGGCCGGCATCGTGGACTCCTTTGCACAATACTCGAACTTGGCCAACATCAAGGCGGGCTGGGCAGAGGAAGTGCTCACAAGGGACGTGGGACCAGGGATGTCGGGAAGGTATGCTCTTTTCAGTACCACTTCCTATTTCCCTGGGTTCATGGGGGTCCTGAAGTTGGCACGCCTTGTGCTGTCACCTTTAGAAGCGCGGCATCTCGCGCGTCACTGAGATGTCCTAAGCAGGGCAGGTAATGAACAATGTGGTCGTTTCTGTACCTTATCGTGGTAGCTGGCTGGGTAGCTTGCAACCAGTAGAGAATTAACCTGTAGATGTAGCTTAGGAAACCCCGGTTACAAGAGTGCTCCTAGTTGATGTTGAAATCAGGCGTTCCGTGAGATGTTGTACCTCTCAAATTTGCACCCAGCCAGTCATCATCCGGATCTGACTAGTCTGGGTCCCGTTGCTACGAAACCGCCAGACTTGCCAACACGGATCGTCTTGTCCACTGTTCAAACGAGAGCGCTTGAGGCAGATCATGTCCCTTGATTTGAGAAACTTGCAGAAGATCGCTTGCGTTGAAGGTGCGAGAATATGTGTGATCATGTTGCCTTGAGTTTGCACCGTACATGCATACATTGTGTGCTGAGTGTCATGCCCAAAACAAACCTGGCTGCTTGTTTATCGGTCAGGAGATCTACGACAATGTAGAAAGCAGTGGCCTGAGCGACTTTTGCATGCCCTTGTTCAAGTTGAGGTGGCAGCAGATTGCTGAGGTGTGAACGAGCGGTTGAAGCTTGCAAGCACGCAAGCAAAGCTGTTCAACTCACGGGAGGCAGGGCAAGATGTCATGACTAGTATGGCTGTCAGTTGCTTCTCACAGTTAGAAGCTGTGTTTTGGCTTGCAAGGCGTTGTTTGGACAAGAATCGTCCGACTACAGCCACCTTCAGCAACTTCAGAAGGCCTGGTACAGACCAAAGTGTCCATCAGTCAATCAGTTGACATCGGAGGGATGAAGCTTGTGCTGCTTGTTGAAGTAGCAGGGCAGGGACTGGTCAACGTGTTTTATGAAGTGTTGAAGTGACGAGTTACCCCTAGATCATCAAGAGTCCATATTATATATTCTACACAGAGGATAAGAATTGCGTTGCTTGGTGAAAGTCTGGATGCGGATGCTGCACCCTTGTCTTCCAATTTCATGAACTCATTCTTAGCTGTCTTAGTGCATGCATGCCCCAACGCATTCAAGGGCTTTTTAAGCTTCAGAGATACGGTAGGAAGGTGGAGCCTTGAAGCGCATGTCTTTTGGAGCTAAGACTAGGTCGGGGCTGTTCCACCCCGGAGCCTCGGCTTCTCATTGGGCAAGTTCTGGTGCGTCTTGCGTCTCAGTGTCTGGCCAGGAATGGGAGCCCTTCTCAAACCTCTGGGCCGTAGCCTCGGATTCAGCTCTCGTGTCGCCCAGGATGCGTTGGGCCACTGCCCAGAAAGAATTTTGGCGCCCGTGGCTGGGCCCCACAGATTTTAGATTTACGTGGTAGGGGAAGGGCGCACTTTCAGTCACTCCAAAATTTGTTGACCAAGCTGGTTGAGCATCATGGATTAACTTTGCCTGACGTATGAATGTATCCGTGGATCGGCACACCTGCCAGTTGTGATGCTTGCTTGCTTCAGTAACAGCATGCACGAATACGACCTGTGCTGACATGCAGGTTATTGCCGGGATGTCAATGTGTAAGCACACCATACTGCTAAACAATGCTTGTCGTCACATACATTTGCGCGCAGCCACAAGTTTCAGATGCTACTTCCACAGCTTGTCAGGCAATACTGTTAGCGGACAGCAGATGGATGTCCTTCATGTCTGACTACACTTTCCTCGAGCCTGATTTGTCTGATCTTAGTCGCTTCTGGCCATTGGCTTTGCAGGTGCGACGTTGATCCCTTTGTTGGCTCTCTTTTTCCTCGCTTGGACCGCTTGCGCCTGTTCGAAGTAAGTGTGCATTGTGTTTTTTTCATTGCACCAGGCACTTTGTTGCGATCTACGTTTGTTTCTCCAGAACCAAGCAGTACCACTACAGTGGAAGTCGTGCTCGATCAAGTCGAAGTGTTTTTGTTCTGGTGTTTCTGGCTATTTTCTTTGGTTCAGCACCAGTTTCGCGTGGGTACGTCCAGGTAACAGCCTACCACTGGCTAGAGGACTCGGAGAAGTGGATGTGGGATCCCCAGATTTGGCCCCAGGGCGGGCTGGGACAGGCTTGGTAGCAATACGGAGCCATCATTGTACACACATCTTGAACCCGGGGCAAAGCTGAGACGTCTATGGCCTTCCAATGGCCGTGTTTCCACTTGGTCACCTGGGAACGGGTTGGCCTCCTTCAGTTGGTTCCTTCTCGTTGTCTGCTCCTGTTCATTCCATTTTGCGACTCCCCACTCCAGGCATCACTTTTGCGCTTGCTTAGAGCTGCGCCAGGAGTAGTCCGTGTAGTCGTGATGTATTGTGGGCTACTTTTTTGGGTGTAAAACAATGTCATTATTTGCTTCCCTTGCCTATTGAGCGACTCGATTGGGTCTTTGACCTGAGGAATGGGCCCTTTCAGGAGATGGATGCCAAGTACTGCCGGCCACCGAGTGTGCGCAGTCCTTTCATTGTGTCACCTGAGCGAGTGGGTGAGATGCGAGTGGGCCAGTGTTTCAGCAGTCTCTTTCAACTGAGTGATCAAGTTTGCACCAAATCGTATCCTTGCACAGCCCTACTAGGTGGGGCTTGCGAGAGTCCAAGATGTCCAAGAGGGAGAGTCCATTTGTTTTGGGAATGAACCATCCAAGCTACACCACACTCACTCACAGCACCAAAGATGACAGCGGGGAGGAATTGGACTGAAGCGGAGGCGAGCAGTCTGTGACCACGGGCGCCAAGACGCTCTTCAAGACCGCCAGGAGCCCCAAAGATGAGACGGCCAACCGAAAACTTCAGATGGGGGTGTTTTCTTTTTGAGTGGCGTTTGTCAAGACCATTTTGGGGTTGTTTTGAAGGGAAGCCAAAAGGCAAGCACTGTTTTTGGAGGGTTGGACAGAAGCCCACAATATGTGCGCATCATATTTACATGACAGACATTCGAGTAGCCTATATGTCTGAAGATTCATGATCAGCCTTGTTTCAGTTGACAGGCACATTTTGGGGATTATATTGTTCACTGATCACAGAGATCATAGTGTGGGAGGACAACCTGAGAGAGTATTTGAACCTCATCAAGACATATTGTTGCTTTCCCCATCACAGGTTTGAACTTTATCTTGTGATTTATCATCACCGTGACACTTCACAATCGCAACCCACGATTTTGGCATCGATGTTGAACATTTTGTGGGCGGAGATGGGTGACCCGGGGTGACATCTAGCAAATAGGCGCACGGGTCCGATTCTAGCACTGCAAGCTACTTGGGTATGACTCCCCCAAGCCTCGGACAGTGACCAAACCTATCCGGCCATGGATGATGAGCTAACTATGCAGGTGGTACTGCTGGCTGTATGAATGTGTGAGCCGGATTTGGACCCCTTTCTGGTGGCCCGTAGGCAACACGAATAAAGCCATGTGGCTGTGGGTCAAAATTTAAGGGCTGGGGTTAATTACGCAGTTGTTGGTCTTCGTTTCCATCCAAGGGGCCCAAAAATGGGTTCCACCCTTTTGAGCCACAGCCATGTACTTGGGCTCCGACTGGTTTTGAACACATGGCTGTACATTGTGGGTACCTTCTCTGTGGGGTGGTTCTTCAGGGGAGAGACCCGTCCGGCCAGTTAGTGCCATGGCTTCCTCAGGTCAAGGGCCTGGAGAAGCGTGAGGATGCCGCCAAGGTTCTGCAGATCGCGCGGGACATCAAGGCGGGTTTCCGGCGAGCGATTTGCCATGTGCCATGAGTGGTTTGGTATCAGTTTCTAGGGTGTTCCTGCAACTCAGACGATGATCGAAATGATTTGATGACACTGAAGCTGTTCATGTTTGATTGAATGAGACAGGATGATTGTTCTGCGCAGCAAAACGAGTTTGGGGAGTTCAGAGCAATCATGAGCAATCATTTGTCATGACGATGCCATGGCCGTATGACGTAGGAGCAAATCGACGCCTTCCAGCCTTACCTTCCCATTGCTGGATCCCAAGAACAACGGACGCATGCTCTTTGCAGTGCTCATCAAGCCCTCGAACCCACATGTTGGAATAGACCGTCGAAGGGTCAATGGAGAGAGGGTCCATCCTTGAAGCTCAACAAGCTTGCAATGATCCCTTTAGCTTGGCTGTGCAGTGTGATATCCTTTAATCTAGTTGGGTCAGTCGGACGGATGTTGGGATTTGCAGTTGCAGCTACCGAGGTCACTGGCCTGCGCAATCCAGGCATGCGTGAGCGCCATTGGAAGCAGGCGCGCGGCTTGGGGACTGCTTTCAGTTGGTTTGATGAAATGGACCACCAAAAAGGGTCCCGTCTTGATTTCACATTGCCGTGCAATGGAGCACCAAGTGCCTTCTTGGCAGTTTGGTCTTCCCAGGTGAGTGACTTGGTTGGCCAAGATGTCAGCCCAAGCCCTGGGTGAGCAGGAGTGGCCGATTCTTCGACTGCTGCTGAAGAGACACTGTACATGTTCACGCTGTCAGCCACGCGTATGACACATTACTGACCACGTTCATTGCAATGCTTGGCTACGTTGTGCAAATGAGGGATCCCAATTGTTTGTGGATTGACAAGCCGAAATACCAAGACAACGTTGTCAAGTATTTGCCTGAGACTCCAAGCAATGTGATTCCAGAGACTGTGACTTGATCGACTTGCTCCGAGGTCCTGAGATGGAGGACTTCACGCTGAAGCACTTCATCGCCCTAGGCCTGGGCCATGACAAATGCTCACTGCGAGCTTCCAGCCAGCTATCCCACTCCCGCGGGTTGAATGGGAACCAGTTGTGGGCGATCTGGAGGAAGGGGCCTGGCTTTTGACCAGCCAATAATGCAGGGTCATTTCTGAGCAGAGAACGCCTGGACGATGGCTTTGGGGAAATAAGCTCGACAGTCGAAGCATGTTTGTTACGCTTGATGCTTCTGTGCACGCCAGGTATGACCGAGCACACCGGCACGCTCAACACTCAGTGACAGGATGCACTGCCCTGCTTAACCTAAAGCACTGGCTTAAACGTTGGCAGAGCATTGTACGGCAATCGGTTCATTGCTTGTCTCCATAAAAATTCTGAGAGGCCAAGCAAGCAGATAGCAAGCAGATTCTGGATGTGATGCTTCACGGAAGTTCTGCGCAGCGTTGACCCAGGATCAGCGACGTTGGTGACAAGAGCGGCAAGGAGCTGGCAATTGAGACACAGCTCAACAACATGATCACCGCGCTTGCGCCTTATATATGCATTGCAATGTATTTTCGGCATGTCTGAATGCACGGTGACATACTTGTGCCTGAAACGCGGGGTCATTAACCTCCCGAAACCCGCAACACGTTTACCAGGCTGATGCCTTCGGCAGGTGCACGCTGCTCTGTTTTCAGGATACCTCGTCGCCTGAGGTGGGACAACATGAGATTTGACTGCAGCGAGTGCTCGGCTCAGATGTTCGCTCACAGCGCTTGGGTTGGCGCCAGCTAAATCGAAAGAGTGTTAGTTTTGCGTCCCAGCAAAAGTGGACTCTTCCAAACCATTAGCCAAGGGGAGCGTCGTTCTTGGGAAACAGCTTCCTGAGGTTTACCATGCGATGGACATGTGCTGTGTTGAAGGGGCACGCACACGTGGCAATTGTCAATACTAATTGTGCGAAGTGACATTGGATGTTGGTGAGTAAACTTCGCTTCGTACAGTGGTAATTTGGTGAGTGTACCCAATGCATGTCAGTCGCTCTACTATAGTACCTTACAGCGACTTGTGATGGCTGCTCACCCTTTCTGGCATTGAAGGCCGGCAGCACATCGTTTCATCATCACTGTGGCAGATCGGAGATGACCATATTCTCCTGCAAATAAGTTCTTAGTGTGATAGGCAAACAAGGAAACTTTGTTCTGCGATCTAGTCAAATGGGCTGCTCACATGTTTTTGCAACAACACATTCTTCACACGCATCATCCCGCCTTTGATTTGGCAGCTGCGTGCATGACGAGGCTTCTTGGACAGGGTGTTCACTGTCCACCTCTGTTATCAAAAGGTGGCTGACTGCGCTACAGGCGTATATTTTCGCCCGCCCGCCCAAACGATTCCGAACTGTAGCATTGTATCCTCTTGCGAGAGAAATACGACATACAGTGGGCCCAACATAGTCTGACCTTGGCATTCAAATTGCTGAAACCACTTCCTGACCCGTCTTTGGGTTGAGGCCATACCGCAGCACCCAGACATACATCTTGAAAGGCGCGAGCACCGGCTGGGGTGGAGATCTGGACATACTGGGCACCTCTATAGCTACCTTTTCCATCCACGTTGTGTAGTGGGATACTTTGGCTCAGAGGCTCATTGCAAGGCTTGATGCTTTTGTGCTGTTGCATGGCCGAGCGTGGCACGTTTTAGGTCATGTTTTGCATGTTGTCCACGTCCATTGCGGCAGCTGCTTCACACTCTTGCGATGGAAAGGTTGTGATTAGGTTCCCACCAAGGAGGGATCCCTGCGATCAGAGCAAATAGGACTTGGCTCCTCGTGGCAGTGCTTTCGCATCCCTCGCAGCTGTTTGAGGAATCCCAACTTTCAGACTGCCGATGGATTGGCTCCTATGATGGACGTTTCAAAGCTAGAGGACAGCACTTCGACTCCAGCAAGACAAGTGCAGCCAGCAAGACAAGGGCGGGTCATCCCATTTCACAGAATCCCGCCAGGCGCAGATGAGGTGATTGCCCTCGTGGACGAACAGATCGTGCTGACGCAGGTGGGGCGCCACTGGGTATGCCAGAGGCCAGTGCTAGTGCCAGTGTTGCATGGGGAATGGTGACTGGGAGCTCTTTGTCTTGTGGCATGAGCTTTTGCATTGGCATCCTTGCCTGGCGCTTATTCGCCCTGACGCACGTTTCGGCCCGGCTGGATGTTGCGCTCACTTTTCACAAGATGGTGGGTGTGAGAATGCAGCGCGTGTACCAGCTTAAGTGTGCACATGAGTAGCGTAGTGAGCAGCCTAGTTTGCACCAATCAACTCGGCAGATAGGCACAAGTAGGCGACTCAAGTGGTTTTGCAAGACAGGCAGTGACTCTCTGAATGACTGCCATGGGACGCGCTGATGCCCAAGAGGAAGGCATCCGCGTTAAAGAACCAGAACCAGGACGCGGCTTGGTTCATATCCCTGCCTGCTTCAGGGAAATTCCCAAGGCAGTAAAACAACTTTGATTTTTGGTGGCTGTAAACGTGCGATTGCTTCCAGTTCAATTGGATTCACTGTGGATTGAACGATTGCCACGTCCAGGACCTCCAGCCGTCGCTGCTGCACACCTTGCCGCGCCCCTCGGAGCCTGATCAGCAGCCTGCCTGGGCCGCGAAGGTGCGCGAGCGCTTGGCATTGCTGGAGGCGCACCTCCGCAGCTCGGTCGCCAGCGCAATGGTGCTTGCCTTTTGGGGGTGGTCCTAAAGAGAAAGGCGAGAAAAAAAGAGCTCATTTTATTTTGGGTCCTTGTATTTTGACACACACACCCATATAATCAGCATATAATGCTTTTAGACGCGGGTGGTTTTTCATCAGTTTCAAGTTTGGTGCAGTGCAGTTGTTTTCCCTCCATATGTTGTGATCACTTGGTTCCCGAAAAGTTCCCATTTTTTCTCCCAAGGCAGGCTGCAGGGGGAGAAGCAGAGCCTGCTGTCTTTGCTCTACGACGCCCCTGAGGAGCTCAATCAGGACAAAGGGGCCAGTTGAAGGTTTGTTTGGACGCAAGGTGTTTATTGGGCAAGCAACCGCCCTGGACCAACCCTGAATGAGCCCCCCAAAAGCCTTGGTAAACGTTTTTTTGTGCTACAAACTCTCAATCAACCCTACCGCCGCAAGCCTCAGACCCACCCTGAACCAACCTTAAAGCGAGACTTTAAACCAAACGTAATCCTGTTAAACCAACCCTTCATCCACACTAGACTAGGCCAATCCTGCAACCTGAACCCTCACATCAGCATGTTGCACAATTTGTTCTGGACCTTCGCTGCCCAGGACATTGGAAAGGTCAATTACTGGGTGATGTTTGTTGACTTCCCAGCCTGTCCCAGGGAGTACAAGGCCAAAACAAAACTGACATAAAGTCAAGTCTCGACCCTTCAGGACATTTGGGGCGGAGAGAATGGAGATGGAGCAGGCGTATGTTCCGCGCCCGGGGCGCAGATGGACACCTTGTGGCATGCCGCTCAAGGATGCCCCAGTGACATGCTGTCTAGCTTGGATGGGACCTCAGTGCATCCTGCGCTTACAGCTCAGGAGCCCAGGCTGCCCGATATCGGCACAGGGACGGCAGAAGCGGGCCGAGTTTCTTTGGACACATCGCCAGATCTCGCCGGCAAGGCCAGCGCTCCCGAGGTAGCAGTTGTGGAGTCAATGGAAGTGGCAAGGGAAAGAAGCGAAAGACACATCGAGGCTCCTGTGGCTCCTGAGCTTTCGGCTCCTGAGGAGCCCGAGCTCCCGGCCGAGCCTTGTCGCAGCCCCAGTGTGGCCTCAATGGCCTCCACCATTTTGCTCAGCTCCAGCGACGAAGCAGCCCCGCAACAATGCCCCCAGGCCGAAGCGCTGCCTGATGCGCCTGAGGCGCCCCACCTCCGGCGGTGGAGCCGTGGACTGCTGAGCCCAAGTGGGGAGATGGGCAAGGTGTCCACAAGCCCCAGCCATCCGCCTGGTGATCGGCCTTCGATGGGGCTGCGGGAGAGATTGCAAAGGCGCAACTCCGTGCCCAACGACCTGTGCCAGGATGACTTGCTTGCGCCGCTGCGGGGTGGGCCAAGCCAGCAGGCCACTGCGAGGGAAGTGCCAAACGCTGCAGCTGCTCCAAGCACCCCATGCGCCGAAGGCGCGCCAAGCGCACTAAGCGCATCAGGCGCCACAAACAGCCCCACCGGAACCCGCGGCCCAAGCGCTGACAAAGAGGCAGGTCTCCGGCCAGAGGAGTTGACAGAAGAAGAGCTAAAGACTTGGATGCTGTTTTTCGGTTTGAAGCCAACAGCAAGCCGGGACTTCATGATCCGCCGCATCCACGAGATCGTGGACTACTTGGATGGAGGCACCGCCTTCCTGCGGTCCATTTGCGAGGCTCCAACTCCGGCGCGCAAGGCGAGGGCCCCTGCCAGTCAGAAGAGTCCCAGGCCCAAAGGCAGTCCGAGACCAAAGGCCAGTCCCAAAGCCAGCCAGAGTCAGCAGAGTCCCAAGCGCACACTCACTGACAGGAGGTTGGAGATGGCAGTGGAGGCAATCCGCAAGGATAAGGACCTCTATGAGGCTCTCCTTGCCTTTGAGCATTTGGACATTGGGGAAGTCAAGAGACGAATCGTGGCCATCACGCCGGAGCTGCGCTCTTTAGGGGAACAGCGCCTCCGCTCGTATCTTGACTCACAGGGCTTTGCGATTGGAAACGCGCCGATCGCAAATGCGCAGTGAATTCAAAAGGAGCTTGGCTTATGCCAAAGTTGCAACTGATAACTTGGGTGTCTTTCGTGGCTACCTTCTGCGAATGGCTCTCAAGGGAACGCAAAAGGAAACCGTCGATTTGGCTCCCCCGATTGAATGGCGACAAACCCGTTGGGCTCCATGCACTTCGAGTCAACTGTCAAGCCATCAGCACAGGGTCTTGAATGACTGTGGCAGGCCATGCAATTCTCGCCCTTCAACAAGCCTTTCAAGGATGAGATCGATGCGGGGAGCTTGCTTTCTCGGTACCTGAAGTGTGTTGTTCTGGTGGTTGATGCGGCTTGTGTGTTTGTGTGTGTTTTGTGTTTGTGTGTTTGTGTGTTTGCGTGCTTGTGCGTTGGTGCGGTTGGTTGTGTTGTTTGTGTGTTTGTTTGTTTGTTTGTTTGTGTGTGCCTGAGTGTGTGTGTGTGTGTCTTGTTTGTTTGTTTGTTTGTTTGTTTGTTTGTTTGTTTGTTTGTTTGTTTGTTTGTTTGTGTGTTTGTGTTGTTTGTTTGTTTGTTTGTCTGTTTGTTTGTTTGTTTGATTGTTTTTTTTTGTTTGTTTGTTTGTTTGTTTGTGTGTGTGTGTTTGTTTGTTTGTTTGTTTGTTTGTTTGTTTGTTTGTTTGTTTGTTTGTGTATGTGTGTTTGTTTGTTTGTTTGTTTGTTTGGTTGGTTGTTTGTTTGTTTGTTTGTTTGTTTAATTGTTTGTTTGTGTGTGTGTGTGTTTGCTTGTTTGTTTGTTTGTTTGTTTGTTTGGTGGGTTTGTTTGTTTGTTTGTGTGTTTGTTTGTTTGGTTGTTTGTTTGCTTGCTTGTTTGTTTATTTGTTTGCTTGCTTGTTTTTTTGGTGGGTTGGTTGTTTGTATGTATGTATGTTTGTTTGTTTGTGTGTTTGTTTGTTTGTTTGTTTGTTTGTTTGTTTGTTATTTGTTTGTCCATTTGTGTGTTTGTGTGCTTGTGTTGTTGTGTGATTGTGTGTTTGTGTATTTGTGTGCTTGTGTGTTTCGTTCTTTGTGTGTTTGTGCGTGTGTTTGTGTGTGTGTGTGTGTGTGTTTGTGTGTGCGTGCGTGCGTGCGGGCATGCGCGGGCGCGGGCGCGGGCGGGTGGGTTGGTGGGTGAGTGTGTGGCAGTGTGGCAGTGTGGCTGTGTCGCTGCGTGGCTGTGTAGGTGTTGGAGCGAGTGCGTGGGCGCGTGCTTGTCAACAAATTGAAACGCATGTGTTCATAGATGTTCATCGTATGATCAAACGGGCAGTACTGCTTGCTTTTGCTTTGTGTCTTCGTGTCTTGCTCGACTGTAGATTTAGGACAACACGGACATCCTGAATTTATGCGGTTATGAATTATGATAATATGTTTGCCCTTGCAAGTCCACTGATTCAGCTTTTGCATGTTGGCCTGTATCAACGGTCTTAGGCCTTGGCGTCCCCATGGGACCATAAGCATGCTCGTTTGAGGCCTGGGCTGAGAAACTGCTCTATGTCTCGGAGTGCCTGGACGGATGGCTCAAGGTGCAGCGCGTCACGTGCTCAGAAGCCAAAACTCTTACCTGGCTTCGACGCTCAGCGGATCTCGAGTGGGCTTTGAACGGCCATTTTTCCAGCAGATGCTTGCTGCATGGACGAGCGGGTGTCCATGGGGGCATATTTTTTCCACTGGGTGCCTAAGATGGGAGATGCATGCTGCATGATCTCTCCCTTGGGCAGGGTTGGCTTGCTGCTCGCCTGAGGCTTGGATGTACCTGCAGCCCATCTTCGACTCTCCGGACATCATCAAGCAGTTGCCCACAGAAGGCCAGGATGTGCCCCGGAGTGGACTTAAACACCTTCAAATCAAGATCCCACAAGAGGTCAGTGGCAAAAACCCAAAGTTTTTTGGGCTTAGCAATTTTGAGTTTCTGCTTCCCAGCCAGGCTTCTCTCTTTTCAAGGCTCCACCCTGTTTGTCCGGTCCAACCCTCCACACTCGAGCAGAAGAACTAAGCATTCTTTGGTGGAAGCATTGAGCAGCCCGTCTTCATGACTCACCCTGAGCTTGTGGCATGTGAGGCAAGAAGTTTCGCCTGGTGGACAGCAAGTGGCGTCAGGCGAGGCATGCCATTTTTTTAAAAGTAAATTCCATGCAGGGACAGGAGTCGAAGGCATGAAGATGCCGCCAGATTCCGTCCACCGGTTGCCAAAGGGAGCCCTAAAACCTGGCTGTGTGTCACGTATCTTTTTTCAAGCTGCTGAAACTGCAGGACACGAACAGTGGACAGTGTTCCCGGGGTGTTGGTTTTTGAGGGTTCCTTATGGTTTTTCACATCGCCAGGGGCGAGGGGTATATTATTGTTTTTATTGGTGTAGTGGTTTCTTGTGGCAATTTGTTTATTCGGAACGGTCCCCCAATTTTCTGGCGGTTTCATATTCCTATTGTGGAGGTTTCATATTCCGCGGTACCGTTCAAAGGAAGTTGGATTAGAGGATGTGAGGATGCGAATTGCAGGGTTTTCAAGGCGCCAAAGTTGTACTTTAGGGTTGTCCAGACCTCTCAAACCTGACAGGCTGGACACTCGATGTTTCCTTTGCCTTGGGACAGGTTTAGCCCGTTGCCGGCGTGATGTCCAGGCCATGGCGCGGCTTCATCAGAATGGCGCCGCCTTACAGGCGTGCTCCATGGCCCTGGCCCCGGTCGCTTTTTCAATGCTCGGTCGATGGCGACGCCTCGTGAGTTTGGGAATTGACGGAGACCAACTTGTGGCATTCGCCAAATATTTGGAGAATGCAGTTTGTGGAACAACCCCCAAGCAAATCCACAGCTCCATGGCCAAGCATTTCTTGTAAACCGAGCTTATAGTCATGGGGGGCTCGGCAACTGCAACCACCTTACCCAATCTTCTGAGTTTGCCTTTGTGGTTGAGTTGGTTTCGTTTGGACTCTCAGGAAGGCTTGCTGGAGACGTGGAACAATGCGAATGCCGACCTGGACATGGTGCAGAAAGGTCCAGCGCTGAGGGCACCGATTCTGCGATTCTTAGCGTCATTGAAGTCTGTCTCAGGTTTGGATGACTACTTGGAAACCAAGCGTGGGGCCTTCGCGCGGTTCTACTTCCTATCCAATGCCGGTGCCTCAAGCCAGCCTCGCAGGCAGAAAGAGAGCGAGCGAGCGCTTCAGGATGAGCTGCTGGAGATTTTGTCCCAGACAAAGGACCTGGAAGCAATTGAGTTGCCTGATATGGCCATCTTGCTCGATTCGCCAGAATGGAAGTGCAAGACGAAACCGCCATGCCTGCATTTTTTGGGCTGGAAGCATCATGTTGGCAGTCGGCAATTGTCGGAGATGGAAGGACCCACTCAGGGTCCAGCCGTTCTTGTCCAAGGTGTGGGGGTTGGGCAAGGGCTGCAAGATAAGCTTTCTTCGGAAGCAAAGGCCGTAGATTCTAGAGAGACCATTCTGTTGGATTGGAGGAGGCATGCCTGGATCGCATGCCTAGAACTTGAAGGCTTGATATCATAGTTTAACCACCTGTGACGGCAAGACATGGTTCGCATCAGGGACATGTACTGGAGTGGAACCGGTAAAAGACTCCAACAAACAGGTGTGCACAAAGCAAAACAGGATTTGTGTATGACGAACAACCCTCAAAACGGAAGTTGTCTTTTGAAAATAGGAAGGATTCAAAGGTATGCCAGCTTGGCACATAAGGATTTTGGAGTCTGCTCGGTATCCCCTGCCTAAGGTCGGGTCCAGGGTACCCCTGTCAACGGTCCGCCCCAGTCCTCTCCCTGTTTGGCCTTGTCAAACCTTGTTTTCTTTGAATCCGACGTTTTCTGTTACTGGCTAACTGTTGCTTTTCGGGTTTGTGAAAAGCAACCCTGAAGACTATGAACTGTTGGCCATATTTGTGCATTTTAAGCTCGTGTTCCTTAATTTTGAGGAGACGGCCGCCTATCTTGGCTGGCAGTCGGGGGGGGGGGTGGAAGGGGCAGTCTTTCAGAAAGTGAGGGGTTTATCAAGCAGGAGTCAACCGGAGTGGGGCTGCCAAAGTGAAACTATGAGTCATGAGTCCTTTTGTTGAAGGCGGTATTGCATAGGGTGTTGTCCATCCACTTTTGCGAATTGCAGCAGCAGTTCCGTTAAAAACGAGATGTGCATTGCTCCACGCATGCATATGGTCAACAGATGTGGCGATCGCAGAGTTGCCAAGATCAGCGCAGGTCTTCGAAGCAATGAAGAAGTTGACCTTTACCGCTGAATTGCCACTGCCCGAGAGTGTTGAACCAATCAGTACTCCTACCAGGGAAAGGCGGGAAAGGCGAGCTACTGGCAGACAACCAGCGGAGTCCTTTCCTGAATAAAACCTGAAAGCAACTGCGATCCACCTGGCGCATGCTTTTCAATCTGTCGCACTTTGCCTCTTAGCTGCCCTTGGTGCAACTCTGAGGTCAGCAACGCAGATGGTGTCCAAGGAAGGGGAGACCATTGACTTTGTGCGGGACTTGTTATTACTTATGTTGCCAGAGTTCGTGAGGATTCAGAGTCAGCTTCGGGCCCTTTCCCGCGCTCCCCACTGCGAGCCAGCAACTTCTCTTGGACTCCGCCCGTTTTTGCTCCAGTGCGGAGCTCGTTGAGGTCAGTCCTGTGCACACGACCGGAAAAAATGCCGGGCGCCCGGCGCCATCGCCGAGGGGAGCATCAGGCTGTTTTCTGGAGGAAAGTGAGCTCAAGCCCCCCCCCCCCCGCGTTTTTTGTACCCAGCAGTCTGGCTGAGGGTCGTGACCCCAACTTCAATCCCAAACAAAGGCAGAGAGACGCGTTGCCTTCCATGTGGCATAACTTGAAGCGGACCTTCGCCCTTGAACCAGTTTTAACCTAAATGAAGGGATTCCCATGTCTGAGGTTGAGACCTGGATGACGGAGGTGGAGAATCAGATGTTGGCGGCAATCCGTGAGGCGAGCCCGGGATTCTGAGTTGAGCTTTGTCCCACGAGCATGGGAGCATGTTCAAAGGAGCCTTCAGAGCTCCAGGGCCTTGTTCCTCTCACTTTGCCGGATGTCCCCCAACACTCGGATGTGGCGTCCAAGTCTTTCAAGGACTTCACTGCCCAGGTCATCAAGATCGGAGTCGAGACCTACCCAGAGATTCCCAGAACCGAGTGGGCTGGCACCTGAGACCCTCCCTTCGCCGGCCTTGCCGGCAAAGTGGAGTGAGCCCGGCCCATGTTCAACATCTCGGACCTACCATGACCTACCAGTGTTGGGACTGGAGGTGTGAAGACTGCGCTCAACATTCAACACATCGCTTGTGCTCATCCAGGTTCCAATTGAGCATACAAATATTTGCCCGACTCGGTGAGAAGATCTTGAGTGGAGCGCAGAACGTTTCGCTGACAAGTGAACGCTGCAAGGCATTTCAGGCAAATGGCCGAAAATCAGACTTTGTGTTTGGAAGAATGTGTTGAGTCGAGGTTGTTCATTGTCCTGTTCGCCCGCCCAGGTTCTGTTGCAGCCGGGACAGGTCTGCTTGAATTCAAGTCAGGACGGGTTTTCTTGCAAGGTGGGTGTAAGATCAGATGGCGACTTGACTTGCTTTCCTCTTGCATCTCAATCCCTCCCTGTCGACTCGGTGGATCTTCATTCTGAATGAGACCGTTCCCCGTTTGGCTGCGTAGCACCTAGCCATCCCTTCGCAGGTGCATTGGACTGCGGAGGTGGAAGAAGCCATCGAGTCTGCGGCCCCGTGCCCAGCTTTTCTTTCGATGCTAAAAGCCAAGAAACCCACTCGACGAGGGATACCAGCTTAATATTCTGTTTCTGGGAGTCTGACAAAGTGAGGTTTCCACCATATGCGCGCTTCTTGTCTTGCAATCAAGTCAATATTCGCAGGGTCTGCTGTATGCTGTGGTCCAATCTTATTTGCCTCGTTGTTGACAGGGACGGATGATCATCAACCCGCGAAGAATGACGATTTCTTGATGTATGATACGTATTGAATTCTTCGTCCTTGAAGATTTCATAAACACAGTGTTTGTCGTCCACAGCTCATTCTTAATCGATAATTTACATACGTGTGACAGTTGGCTCTTCAACTTCCGTGCGGGCCATTTTCCGCCTGCCGAGGGTTTGTCCGACTACTTCACCAAGCTCTCTGACCAGTTGCTTGGCTCATGATGACTGGGTGGCATGGTGCGCTGTTTGGGACCGTCCACTAGGGCCCGAGAGCCTCTATTGGTCAAGCCGCACTTGCTAGGTGAACAGGTGCCGTTTCTTTTTGCGGGATATCCCAGGTTCAATCCAAATTTGGCCTCGCTAGGCTCATGGGCCTGGTCCGCTTAGTGCGCGGAGACATCACCCCGCTGCAGCGCGTGTCCTCAGCTCACTGCTGCGGCCCACTGAATAAAATTTGTTTAGTTGGACCCCGATTGAGACAGGGTGTGCCCCTAACAGGGTCAACATGCCACAACC